TCCTCCTTCTCTTCCTCCTCCTCCTCTTCCTCCTCCTCCTCCTCCTTCTTTTCTCTCACTCTCTCTCCTCTCCAAATGTTTATCTCTTAAAAAAATCCAAGGAAGATCTATAAATCTATTCAAATCCAAATCCTCTCCCAGGTTAAGTCCCATGCCTTCTAGTTCTACTACTTTCAGTAAGCATTTCTCCAGGTCAAATCTTCCCCTTTTAGTATATTCAGTTACAGGCCAAAGGCTGCCTTACATATGTTCAAGATCTACAGTATCTTGTAATCATTTATATCATGCATCTTAACAGTAAATTAATAAAAGCCTTAATTATTTCTACAATATTACTTAACATTACTATATTAAAAGACCAAACAGCAAAATTCATAGTTAAATAATTATAAAAAACACATAACCTTTCAAGGAATTAATAGTTTCAACTTGACTCTTCACCTTTAACTTACCTCATTGATATGCATATGACCGCAGGCCGAACCCTTAATTTTCCCGTTTTAATAGCAGCAGAAGTATCATTTTAATTTCACTTGCCAAGCTCTAACTTCTCAGGCTTACAAAACTCTACATTTCCATTAGTTTAGAGCCATCACAATGAATTCCACTTCTGACACCAGCTGTAAAAAGAACAAGGGTCACATGGTGATAGCCGTGTCTGACCTTTTCTGCCAGTGAATAAGAAGCAAGAGAATGTAACACTTCCTTTGGGCCCAGAAATTCTTGCTTCAGCGACATCCATAGTAGCATAAGCCATGGCCAAACCAGAGAATCAGAGACCTAATATGAGATGGAGTTACCTTCGGACAGCTACTCCTCATGGACAGAACCAGGCTAAACTGAAACCTTTTGCCCAAGTTTGTTGGACAACTGGGGAGTGGGGGAACGGTAAAACCAATATTAACAGAATTGAGAACCACAAGGTTTAAGGCTGACGTGCATGGGAGGGCATTTCAGAAGCTGTCCTGACTGAATTCTGCTATTAACCCATATCACAAACTTTTAACTTCCCCAATATGGTTCTGTGTCATCTATGAGCTATCACACTGGATTTTGGATCCAGCAAAGCAGTAAGATTCGTGTTGAGATGGGTAAAAAGAGGTATGGGAGTATGAGAGACTTGACTTACTTCATTGGAAATGGCTTTTGTCATTAATATCTTTGATAGGAACAGTTCTCTTTTTTGAAGTCAGTATAAAAGTGTTCAATTGCACTACACCAACTTCTTGCATTTAGTTAATTTCTCTTTAATAATTTAGTCTCATCTTTGACATCTTTTCCTCTGGGGAATATTCCCTGATATTCTTTTCCCTAAAATCAATTTCTCTTCCACTGCTTTCCTCAGCATCCTGTGTTTAGCTATATAAAAAGCTATTACATTACACTACATTTCTTGGGTTTCCTCCTTTACAAATAAAGATTGTGATGAGAAAAAAGTTATCTTAAATTATTTACAAATAAGCCCCTCAAAGTAAGGCTCACACCTTGTCCATGATAGGAGTTCAACCTGGAACTCAGAAAGTGATAGCTTATGAGTTAGTGGTTATCTGAGGTCATTTCTATCAAGTTAAACCACAATGAAATATCCCTGTATGGGTTTTAGTTTCCATAGAGTGATACTTACCTACCGTGCACATGGGTCATCCCAGGCCTGCTGGTGACTCAGAAAGATTTTCAATTCCCAAACCATACCTGCTCACTGACAACTTTCCTAAATGTCCTGAATTTATCTCTTTAACTTTTCATTGCAAATGCTAAATTTTTAAAAAGAAAATAATTTAAACACTAGAAATCAACCCTTACTCCATTCTTTAGGGGTCAACATCAAATAAAAGTCAATTCATGGAGATGCCTCATGTGTCTGAGAATAGCACAGCACTCCAGGGCTTTGTTCAGAAGTCAGTTGTTAAGCTTTCCTTCTGAGGTATCTCTTGGGTAGACTCAACTCTCCAACATTTGTTTAACCATTTGTATCACCTCAGGGCAAAAAAAATCTATAATATTTTCTCTTTAAAGTCTGTTGCAAAGACAAAACACAAAACTGATTAGCAAATGACTTCATATTTGAAGGAAGAGAGAAGGAAAAAGCAATCAGTGACTCTAGGGCAAAATGACTATACAGGCAAAAATATGTTTTGAAACCTTAAAATCTACTCACTGATTTTCTTCTTTGGTGGCAAAAGATAAGAAAGAGCAATTAAGGAAGAATGTCAATGAATACTTTTTGAAAGATCACTGAAAACACAATAGAAGACTACCTTTATTTTTACTCATATCATCATTTTCATCACCATTATTATAAAATATTTTTAAGAACTTCCATAATGTATATAGCCTGTGTCCAATGGTTAAGAAGTATGATTAGACTAAAAGCAGGGAGTATAAGCTATGTACCTTACATTAAGGGTAATTGGTGGGTTAATCTAGGAATGCATGTCGAGTATTCATTCCAAGTAAAGCAGGTTGAAATGGATGAGGTTAAGGTCTCTTTCAGAATCCCTGAATGGCATAGTTAGCTGCAAAATGAGAAGTTATTATCTTCAGTCTACCAGTAGGTGCCTTGGAAAAAATGTCAAAATGTCTGGCAATGTACTTTGAAAAACTCTGCCACTGAAAACTTTATAGAGCACAGTTCTACTCTTACATACCTGAGGTCATCATGAATTGAAGTCATCAACTACTGGCTTGTTTTATAGGTGTAGTGATACAGTGATATAGCAGAACTGCTTCACACAGTTTTCTTGGGTAATCTTTACAGAAGCAGATTGCTACATCTTTCTTCCTCTGAATAGCTGGCTGGGTTCAAATCACCAATATTTCAGAACAGCTGTGACCTTAACCATTGTAACACCTGAATGTCTTTGTTTACATTCAAGACCAGGAAAAGTTCTTACATTTCAGCGTGGAAATTTGCTCTTGTGATAAGTGTTTCTTATTTGATGCACTAATGCTTTATGTTTTTCTTCTTACAAATTATGCGAAGATGTTGGGCTGGATCTTGATCGTCTTGGCAATCATCGCTGTCCTAGTCTCCCGCAGTTTGGCAAGATGCTGCTCTCCGCTCACCTCTCTGCAGCATCACTACTGGACCACTCACCTGCGTAATGAGAGGGACCTCTTTGAACAAGCTGCGGAGCAGCATTCCAGGCTCCTCATTATGCAACGCATAAACAAACTATTTGGCTTTATTCCGGGGAGTGAAAACGTCAACGACATCCGTATTCCTTCTTGTCAAGACTGGAGGGATATTTCCATACCCAATCTTCTGTGCGTGGGCGATGACTTGCGTGGTCATTACAGCTTCCTTGGAAACAAGGTGGATGAGGAAAACGAGGAAGGCAAATCTGAAGGTATTGAATTAAAACCTTGATTACAACACCTTCAGGTGCTTTAACAGGTCATTTTTTAAATTGACTTTTTAAAATACTATCATCTTCATTTTTTTTCTCTTCTAATAATTTATTTACATAAGTCTATCCACAAGTTCATTTCCAAAGTCGACGTCCCTGATAATTGTGCCAAAGTCTCTCCTTTTTTAAAAAGTTTATTGATGTTGATAATACCCAAGGTATTATTTATCTAATTAAATATTGATCTAATTAACTCTGGAATTTGAGATTTCAAAATTTGGGTCTTGGTTCAGTCATATAGTAGTTGTGTGAAAATGAACATTTCTCTGTGTGATTTTGTCATCTGTAAGGGGAATAGCAGCTACCTTATCCCTTAAAGTTGGTATGATTAAATGCGACAAGAACTATGCTAAGCACAGTGCCCTTCAGAAAAACAAATGTTAATAAAGGTTAGTTTCTCTTTTGCTTATTGAATTATCATGGTCTTTTCAGTTTCTATTTCCTCTATTTCTTTCTGCCATATCTAAGAATTTCCCCTGCCTGCTCCTCTTCCTTCAGTCTTAAACACATGACTCTTTGGGAACTAGCAGGGGAAAAATTTTTTTCTAATTATAGGTGTGGAGAAGTCCAAGCAAGAAGATCTTGAGTCATCCAGCCATACCAGGGCAAGATAAACACATTATTATACTATCCTTAGTATTATAAGTCGATTTTTTTTAAAAACAACAACAATAAAAAACAAACAGCACACATATGCTAAGAGTTGCATTGCCAATCCAAAGGCTGGAATTTGGTATATCAAAATTTAAATCTTGGTTCTGTTATATAGTAGTTGTTGTTATGTGCTATCTAGTCGCTTGCAACTCATAGTGACTATGTGTACAACTCTGAATCCTACCGTATCTTGAGCCAGTTTCACTGACTCTGACACACCTAATCCCATTACCCAGTTACCATGTCAATCCTACTCATCTGGGATCTTCCTGTCTTGTATTGCTTTTCCAATCTTTCAGGAATGATGCCCTTTCCCAAGGATTGGTCCTTCTTGGCCACATGTCCAAGGAGAAATTTGGTTTCACCCTCTCCAACACAGACCTATTTGTTCTCCTAGCAGTACATGGCATGTTCAATACTCTTCACCAACTCCACAATTCAAAAGCATCTATAGTTATTGTCCAGCTCTCAATCAGGCACACCTTAGTCTCTAAGATGACATCATTGCTCTTTAGCACTTTGGAGACTTCCCTGACTGCAGACTTCCCTAATGTAAATTCATCTTTTGGTTTTCTGACTCCTGGTGCCAAGAGCTGAGTTGACTGTGGAACTGAGTAAGCTGAAACTTAACAACCTCAATCTCTTCTCCATCTTTGCAAAAAAGAATGTTTCTCTGTGTGGTTTTACACGGGAATAGCAGCCACCTTATCCCCGACGGTGGCTGAATCTACCAACTGCTCCTCAGGAGAAAGATGACCATTTTTCTCCCTTGCAATTTACAACCTCAGAAATCTGCTAGATGGTCAGCTATAAATCCTTCCCAGCTGAAGGCAGTAAATTGAGTTTGCACTGACACAACACTTATTCCAGGGAACTTCCCAAACTCTGTGGTCCACTGTAAGAATGTGATCTGTGCCTTTACAGTGTTATTATGATCATATTACATCTTTGCTCTCAAAATCCACTTGAGCCAAAACTGCATCCTATACTCGTCTATTACACAGGACTCCTAAAGGAAATGTCTGACTTTTTCTCTGCCTGCCCTTATTAGAGCCTCTAGTATCCCAGAGGTCAGACTTCCCCCTCCTCCCCAAACAATCCATTCACTGGCTTGGACCTCCTATTTATACCATGTAAAACCCAGAAAGTAAGCTTTTGTTTTAATCAAGAAGCCTCTTGCTTGTTTAGGCCTTCTATTTAAACCAGTTGAGACCCATAAATTGGACTTTTTTTTTTTTAATCAACAATCATTCTGTGCCTTGGGTCTCCTAATGAGCACTGGTGGCCTAGTGGCAAAAAGTTGTGCTTTAATCCTGAAGGCTCACGGCTCTAATCCGCCAGCTGGTCCACAGTGGCAAGATGGGCAATATCCTCCCATGAGATTAGCTGTGTCTGAAAACCTTCCGGAGGGTCAGCAAAGGGTCAGTTCTGACTTGACAATATACAACAGCAACAACAGTATCTCTCAGCTTTCTAATTTGCCATGATTATCTCTGATGTACAGTGTTTAGTAGCAGGTGATTGTCATTTTCATTAAAATTAATATTCTCTTGCCAAAATAAGAAACCAGAGGGCTTTTTCTCTATTAGACAAAGTAATTTCTTACTGGGCAATAGACCAGATTCCAAGGGTCAACTTGATTTTCAAGATTCACTTTCAATAACAGAAGAGAATATGACAGTTGACAAGTCAATCAATTACTTGGTCATCTGTTGTTGTTGTTGTTTAATGCCGTCGAGTCGTAGACGACTCATAGCGACCCTATGAACAAATGGCCTGAGCACTGTTCGTACATAGAGTTTCCGGAGGCAAGCCATTTTGGAAGTGGATGCTGCTCCTGCTTCCAGGCTTGATTTAGTCGGGAAGCTCCAGCCAACACTGTCCACCATGGGTGCCCATTACCACGACTGGCACATCACTGTCACAGTCTTCAGCATCACAGCAAGCACGAGTTACCTCTGTACAGCAACGCACAGACCAGTGCTATACCACCTAGAAGAATGTTTGACAGGAAGACAATTTGAACCTGGCCGAGGGCCACAGATGACTTGGTCATCTACATTTACATAATTATGGAATAAAATATATTTTGTAGAAAATTCTTAGTGGCTTAGTAATATGGAGTTGCACCACCAGAGGCTCCATGGAAAAAAGATGGGCAATCTCCTCCCCTGTGATTTACTCCCTCTGAAAACATGTTGGAGGGTCAGCTATGAGTTGATTCCAACTTGATGGTAAATAACGACAACAGCTAGCAACCAATTACTTGGTGGCCTGTATTTACATAATTATGGAAAAAAGAGTAATTTTGTATAACATTCTTGATTGCTCAAACACAATTATATTAAAAAGAAATCTAGAAGGTGAGTTTTAAATAAAGAAAAGATCTCTGTTTCTTGCCAGATAGTGCAGAACTTTGTTAAGATTAGAGACCCGCTTTGCCCTCATTATTATTTGTTACTGGACCTTGAGCAACTTAGTTAGTCTCCCTGATGTTCAGCTGTTTCACCTACAAAATAGGAAGAATGACACCTTACCTACTGCAACATAAGGGATTTAACTAGATGAATTCTTGAGAGTACTTTCAAATGGAATAAGATTTTTATGTTTACATATGTATGGACCAATGTGTACACAACACTCTGGAATGAACTAGACCTGTGTGCCTTCTGTTGGAAAGAAAATATAGTTAGATTCTTGACTTACCCCAGAGACCCCAAGTGTCCAAAGAGTACTGATCCAGTTTGCTACTTAACTCTACACAATGTACTAATACAATGTAAAAAGAAAAAATTTTTTAAAGGGGGGAGGCACATTATGGAAAGTTCTAGTTTTGTTCTCACTTACGCATGTGTGATCACTACCACTTTAAGTTCTACTCTAAGGAATCCCCTGGCCGTACAGCTCTACTCCACAAATTCTTTACATCCCTTCTTATTGGGACATATAAGTTAAATCAGCAGATTATATCAGGTTCTGAATGCATTTCTCCTTCTCTAGGGACTATAATACAGTAAAGACTCTTTAAAAAGATTTTCAGTTAACAGAGAATTCTAAGATTGTATGAAGTTGAAGTCCTGCATCATCAGAAATAAAATTAATAGTCCCCTCCATGCCAATAACAAGAAACTTTAGTTCCATCAATCTGTGGAAGCCCTTTCAACATCAAAATCTTTAAAAGTGTGATATACACAGTTTATATATTTTAAACTAAGAAATAATGATCTTGCAAATATTGGATATATTGTATCAAGTATGTATTGTATGTTGTATCTAGTTCTCCCACCTATGTGAATAAAAAGTGTATTGTAGAATCTACGTGAACATTAAAAAAAAATAGTGTATTTTCTTGGGTTTCATTGAATTTCAATGAAATTAAATTCCCCTCCTCCTTTCTTTGTCCAGAGTATTCTTTTGCATCATTGCCAGATAGGTAAAACTTTTCCATTAAGAACATGATCCTTCTTCCCCTTTATGCTTAATGGATTTATGTAATTATAGAATATATAATTGTAATCAATTATGTGCTAATACTACATTATATTTTGCTACCAAATGCTTTTGGCTCCCACATGAAATGCTGTGGTTTGGCATACGTACAGACTTGCTCATTTCTGAAGTTTTGTCAGGTCTCCCCTCCCTATCACACCCTAAGTTGCCTCCTTCTAGAACATACAAATGCATTTCTAATGGTTAAATGTGTTTTGCTTGACTTTGTGCTTTTCACTGTTGAATTACATAGAACCGCAGTATATGTTGTCATCCTTTTTGTATCTTCTATGTTTTAATTTTAAATTCCATTTATTTAAAGAATTCTAATATATAATAATAATTAGAGAAAAGAATGTGATTTTTAAAAATTTTCTTTTATATTTGTTTGTATACAAATTTCATATACATTGTCTTTCATTCCCATGCATGTATTTTACACACTTATTCATTCACATTGTGTTTCATGGGATCATTCATATTATGCATTGTATCTTATCAAATTAATCACCATTGATCTCTGACTAGTATTACATTATCTTTTCAGATCCTCACTAGATCTTCCTAATTCTTTCAACCCTTCCTTCTGCCCACCAAACTCTGTGGGCAAATCATCCTAGTGATGTCCCCCACCCCCCAACACACACAATCTATCCCCTTGTCTTTCTCATCTTCCCCTTTTGGACTTATATACACATCTTTCTAGTTATCCTTTTTGTTTTTTTAAACAAAAATGGTCTTGTGCAGTATTTGTCCTTACGGGAGTAAGTTAGGTCACTCAGCATGATGGTCTTTAGACTTTCCCATGATATAGTAT